AAGGCAATTTTATCATGTTTCTTAAGCGTTTATAGTTTACAGATCAATCAGAATTAGTATACATGTCTTTCTAATTTCACACAACGTTTATTCATGCAATAAACACAAGATTTCATGAAAAAATATCTTGCGTGATAAACGATTTTTACATGAAATAGTGTTGTGTGAAAAAAGCAACAGTGGCTCATGTGAATATAGTATGATATTTCTCTCCGTGTATAATGAACGTGCAATTCACTGCTGAAGTCAGCGAATTACCATTAAAATTTTTAAATAGTAGCTCACTTGACTTCAGCAGTTTTGCATGGCAGTGACGTCAAATGCTATGCTCCCTTTTCCATCGTTCGCTTCACCGGGGTGCGCAAAAGGTTAAACACAAACAAAATTCAAAATATACGAAAACACAGCCCGCGGAGCAACCAACACTTGAATGTTTATAAGTTCGTCAATTTTGCTCCGATCGGCTTAAAATTTTTACACAATATTCTTGAAATATTATACATTTATTTAATAAAATAAAAAAAAATGCAAAAAAAAATTAAATACCATACCCTTAAGGATGATAACCTTCCGCCCTTGCGATGGCAGCTAGGTTGAGTTGCAGCAGGGAGCGCATGAATTGGTGAGAGTTGTTAGTATTAGAACTAGTACGAGTGTATTGAAGAGATCGTTGAGAAAAATATGTGTTTCACCGATTGAAAGGAAGAAAATGTGGATAAAGTTTAGTAGCGTGACTAAAGGATTATTGTTAGGGTTTCGTTCACGCAGTGAACCGAAACGGATCCCTTATGGTTTCACTCATGTCCGTCCACAAAATCATGCCCCCCGCCTCTAAAACCTAACAATTTCAACCGATTAAGCTCAAACTTGACGTACATACGTATTTTTGCGAGTAGATTAAACGAAAATTATAGCGAGTCCGATTGGAATTGAATTGAATATAGTTATAAGTCCAAAAACTCAAAATTTCGGAAAATAACGTGTTCCCCCCTTAACTTTTACAGTTTTGGAGCTAGGATGTTCAAACTTGAAATACATACGTATTTTTGCGATTAGATTAAAGGAAAATTATAGCGAACCCGATTGGAATTGGATTGCATATAGTTATATTCGAAAAACTAGAAATTTCTGAAAAAAGCGTGCCTCCTACTGAAAATTCTTATGTAGGATCTTTATAGGATCTCACATAAATTCATATATTAAAATCCACATAAAATCCTATGTGTCATGTAAGAAACTATATAGGATCTTATGAAAAATCATATGGGAAATTGAGACATGATTCCCAAGCAGCACGGTATATCCCCCCTGAATTCCCATGATCATCCAGGAAAATCAAAATGTCCGCATTATGGGAATATTCCACAGTGACATTCAGGGTATATTCCAGTGACATTGAGTGTAATATTAAAGGAATATTCCAGTGATATTGAAGGAATATTCCACGGTTATATTGAATTTTTTTTAAGTTTTGAAATAATAGAAATATGTTATGAATTGTTATTTGAATAAGCAGGAAGATTAAAAACACATTTAAAAAAAAATTTAATGTAACCGTGGAATATTCCCTCAATATCACTGGAATATTTCAACAATATCACCTGAATATCCGCTTAATGTCACTGGAATATTCCATGAATGTCACCGAGGAATATTCCCTCAATGTCACTGGAATATACCCTGAATGTCACTATGGAATATTCCCATGATGCGGACATTTTGATTTTCCTAGAAGATCATGAGAATATTCCACTGTGGTATTCAACAGATATTCAGGGAATATACCCTGCTGCTTGGGTTTGAAGTGGGATTTGATGTAAATCCTTATAAACGTATTCTTAGGTAATAAATTATGAAAATTCCTATATGAAATCCTACAATTTTTCTCGTCACATTTTTTCTTTCAATTTCTTTGGTCAATTTCCTCCGTGTTTTCTCAAAAAAAACCTACCAAAATTCATTGCTCAATTCTTAACCAGAAATTTTTCTCTATCAAATCATACATCAAATCTTTTTTCGATTCTTGAATAAAAAATTATTACAAATATCTGACATGGAATCATATTAAAAATCTTCACGTGAATTCTCAATCATATAGAATTTTATGTAGATTTTGAAATATTTATGTAAAATTTCACATAGAATTATATAAAGGAAACAATATAGGATTTCATATAGGAATTTTAAGTTGGCAGACGGTAGTTTATAAAAATTAAAAATTATTTAATTAAAAATAAAATAATATTACTGCAAATTGTAGTCAGCTTACAGTTAAACTTACTATAACATTATTTTAAGCTTCCCGTAACCTTTCCGTAAACTTACTGTAAGCTTCGTGTAGTCTTAATGTAAGATTCCATGTAAGATTACTGTAAGCCTCATGTAAACTTCCTTTAACCTTACACTACTGTTAATTAATATTAATAAATATTATTTATTAATATTTAAAAATTTTTTTCACACCAGATGATATATATTGTGATGTAGGATATACAACCCTAACGGGAATAATTGATTAAAATCTACTGCGCAGTCGTAAAAGCTATATTAAACTACTGCGCATAAATAACTGTTTAATTTATTTATAAACATTTATTAATAATAATATAAGTTTACACAAAGCTTATAGAAAGTTTATGGGTAGCTTACAGTAAGGTTATAGTAAGATTAACTGTAAGCTGACTACAATCTTATACTGCAGCTTACGGTAGAGAGGACATTTGCAGCTCACCTTAATCTCACCTGAAGCTTACGCTGTAAGCTAACGAATCTTAGGTTTAAACTCAAGGGAAGCTTACAGCAAGATATTGTGCTGTGTGGGGTATTTGATACTTTGATACTTCTCGAAAATTTTATGAAGTTTTTACACGTTTAATTATACGTGTATTCGATATTTTGATTAAAATTTAAATTTTTTACCAGAACTCCACAAGTATTTGATACCTTGATATTTTTTGAAAATGTTATGAAATTTTTAAACACGTCTAATCGATACTTTGATATTTTTCAAAAATTTTATGAACTTTTTACCCGTGTAATTCATACTTTGAACTTAACAGTCATTTTTTCACTGAAACTCCACGTGTAGTTACACGTGTAAGAAGTTCATAACATTTTCGAGAGATATCAAAGTATCGATTACATGACTAGTTCCACGTGTAACAATTTTTGAAATTTTGAAACAGTTTTAAAGTATCAAATACACGTGGACTTTATAGAAAAAATTACTTTTAAATTCAAAGTATGTATTATTTACACGTGTAATTCCACGTTTATTTTTTCAATAGGGAAGATTCGTTTCTATTTTCATAAATGTAATTCTTTTGTAAATTATATTTGAATCAAGGTTTTATTTCAAAATGGCGGATGCAATATGACGGACAACTTTTTTCTAAATTAATTGCATTCGATATTTTAAATTTATAAAATTTGATTTCATATTCATAATCAGTGTTACATCTGGTCATTTTATCGACTTTATTTTTTTTTCCATATTTAATTTTTCCACGTCCCTTATCTTTTTAAAAGAAAAAAACTCTACAACTGCATCCTCCAGACGTCGACCGCTGGGGTCCTTCTCCTTTCATTTTCGACAGGTCCGAGAGTCCCTGTCGCCAAGATTTCCTTCTGTTTGTAATAAAATTTGTCTAGGTTCCGAAAATATATATAGTATGAATGCATGCATAAAATATTTTAGAAATAATATAAATTTTTATATATAACAATTAATATAATAACAATTAACTTTAATAATTAATTTCATTATTATTAATAAATAATTAAAATGTTATTTTTCAACAATTTATATTAAATTTTAATAAAAACTAGTAATTGTCGAAATTTATAATTAATTATTGTTCAAAATTATTAATATAAGTAAAATTAATAATAAAAATTATAAAAAATATAAAATTAATAAATAAACCATTAAAATTTAATACAATTTAACAATAATTAAATTATATTGATATTTAACAATAAATAATTAAAATTTCAAATAATTACAACTATAATTTGTAGGTTAGGTTAAGTTATTATACAAATTAGTTAAAATTAACATTAATTATAGAAAATTATAAATAAATTAAATCTAAGAAATGTGTTATTCTTAAAAATCGTTGTAGAACCAAAATTCAAAAAAGGTTATGTAAATTAAGTCAAATAATAATTTTTAATAACAAATTATAATAAAAATTATTATTGTTTATAACAAAAAATTAATCTAATTGTAAAAAGATGCAAAATATAAAATATCTCCCCTTCTTTCAGATTTTATCCCTACTTTTGGAAATCTGTGTCCTTAAAGGAACACCCACAAGTTCCGACCCCCCCCCCTAAGGGTTGGGTCAGTGGGGCCCAATAGAAAGAAAATGTAAATTAGTTTTCTTCATTTTTTTTTACGAATTTTTACCATTTTTTTTTCCAATTCCAAAGAATACTGCCGTATTAAAGCTGGCGGTTATTCTTTAAAATTGTATAATTTTACCTATGTGATTCCAAATTATTTTAACGCTTTGATTCCAAAATTTATTAACGTCACTTTATATAGTTGTGACTAACAAATTTTACTCCTTATATTGTGTATTTCCTTAATTTTTTTAATTATCTATAAGAAAATTCAATAAAAATAAAATAATCAAAATCAATTCCCAAGCTATTGGATGAGAATCCAGGCTTAAAATTGTAATAAAATTTTTGTAACTATAATTTTAATTTAAAATATAAATTTTAAATTATTATTATTTGTTATAAAAATTTATAAAGTAATATTTATGTTACATTACGTAACATCAGCGACCCCAAAAATCTTTGAGTAACAAGTTTTAAGCAGCTATTTTATATTGTTGTTGCCAATATCGCTACACCTTCGTAATGTACAGGGTTCAAGCTTTAATTTGACCCCTATGGGAATTCTTCAGCACGTCGGATTTACTTTTATCTCTATTATCGATAGAAAAAAAGTTATAAATGAAAAAGAGAAAATGGTAACATGTACGTACCAATAAGAGTTAAGTTGATTCTGAAGTTTCTAGTTGGTGAGTTTACGAAATCAACTCTGCATCTAAATATCCCTTGGTCAATGAATTTAACGTTGTTCAATTTTAATCTACCTCTATGACCATCAGCAACTTGAAAATATGTTTTCCTTCCAAGTTCGTTACTAACGGCCCAGTGAACAGCATTTCGTAAATTTCCCTTTCTCGCATCAATGCTAAAATGAAAAAAGTTATCTATTAATTGTAATATATAAATTAATATTGACGTTTTTTAAATGAAATAAATTGTAGTAATATAATTTCTAAATATTTTCTCCGACCCGTGTGAAAATTTAAATCCTACCATTAGTAGGTCCCGAAAAGATTGCTGTATTTTATTTAATAATCCGATCCAGAAATATAATCAGGTACTTATGGTGTTCCCTTACGCTCGAAATGAAAAGGCCTGACTTATCACAGTCACTGCATGCAACTATTAAAAAAAGGTGTTTTAGTGCAAGGTCTACAGTTTTCACAATTATTAATATTTTTCAATAAAAATTTACATACAGGTATATCGAAATATGGACTATTCGGTAAAATAAACATCGTTTTAAAAAAATGTTTAACAACGGCTAAAGTTTTTTTTTTAAATTTTTCTTTTTTGACGCGCATAAAGGTACATAACCCCTTAATGGAGCGGTCACAGCTCGGCTGCCTGCGTGCGGGCAGACAACCGAGCTGTGACCGTACACTAAAAAAAGGGTTTGGTATTGATAACCAAACGTTTGGTTGGTATTTAAGCAACCAAAATTTTTTTGTTGAATCAACAAAATTTTAATTGTCTCAATCAAAATTTGTTTGACACAACCAAAATTATAAAAAAAAGGATTTTTGTTGTCCTAACTAAAGTTTGATTGGGACAACTAAAATTTTGTTGATTCAACAAAAAATTTTTGGTTGCTTAAATACCAACCAAACGTTTGGTTGTTAATACCAAACCCTTTTCTCAGTGTACCATAAGGATTCCTAAACAGTGTGTTTTTCCTATCAGAATCGCTAAAAAGAGAACATCAATTTTTTTAACCTAGTATTCCTTTTAGTAGACCATATCACATATTTTGAAATGCATGCTAGAGCTTTATAAAGCAATGGAATCCGAACGATTTTTTTTGAAAATATGCACTATATTGGTCCGACATTTTGAATTCTGAAAAACTGACACTGAATTCGAAATCAGCGGCCCCGGAAACCCCCGAGTAAATAATTTCAAACGAATTCGAACGATTTTTGAAAAAAAAGTCCGCCGTGTTGGATTCGTCATTTTAAATTTTAATAAACTGACACCGTATTCAGAATCAGCGACCCCAAAAAACCTCCAAATAACGAGTTTTAAGTCAATTTTATTCTTTTTAATTAGGAAAAATGTTGTATTTTGATAATGGGTCAAAAATTCAAAATTTGCCCCTTTTTTGACAATCAAAAATTTTGTTAACTTTTTTTTAAGATCGGTCTTTATTATTTGATTTTTTAAAGTTAAAAACGTGTATTTTCTTTCTGTTTAAAAGTTATAACTCTTCAAAAATTCACTGTTTAAATTTTTCAAATAAATTCAAACCCTTTTCTCTCCTATAGTTTTATAAAAAACCTAACAATACTTCGTGGTTAAAGTACTCACCCATAGGCATAGGGCTAAACTCTGTACAAGTTACAGCCCGATCCGACCCACTTTTTTCATTTAGGGATCGTTCAAATATTACGTCACACGCTTAGGGGGAGTGTTTGGTTGTTCTGTGACGTTCTGTGATGAAGGGGGTGGGGGTTGATTCTCTAGTCTGAAGTCACAAAAATTCAATTAAAAATTACATGAATCACCACACGCGAAGTTGAAAAAAGTCAATTTTAAGAAATTTTTAGGGTTCCGTTCACGCAGTGAACCGAAACGGAACCCTTATGGCTTCACTCATGTCCGTCCACAAAATCCTGTCCCCCCCCTATAAAATCTAGCCATTTTAACCGATTGGGCTCAAATTTGGTATACATACATATTTTCACAAGTAGATTAAAGGAAAATTATAGCAAACCCGATTGGAATTGAATTGAATATTGTTATATTTCAAAAACTCGAAATTTCGGAAAAACGTATCCTTCCGCGCTTTAACTTATACAGTTTTGGAGCCAAGAAGCTGCAACTTGGTACACATATTTAATTTCATGTGGAGATTTCACATAAAATATAGCCAACCCCTTTAAAATATTATATTTAAATATTTAAATTTAAATAATCGTGAACGGAACCCTAGGTAAGCGAATGATGATTTTAATTAAGCGAATGATCAATTTTAATTTTTATCCAATTTTTATAAACAATGGCTCATTTTTCTCTTTGAAAGATTTTCTACAATTCTGATTTTGTGTTTTTGTTAAATAATGGTTTGTTAAAAAAAAATTTATTTGTTTATTAACTTTTTGAACAAAATATTGTTAATAAAATTCAACAAACATAATTGTAAAAAATCTTTCAAAGAGCACAATAAATTGATTAAATTTTTAAGAGGCCTTTCTTTATGGAAAACAGGTGTTTACAATTTTTTAAAGAAATTTATTGTTTAAGGACAACATGTGTCGACAGCATATACTGTCCTCTTCAGATCCAATGGCTTTTTTATAAAAAAATAGATATTAACAATTAACAATTGACAAATGGTATCAGCGTTAAAATTAACAGAATTTTTGATATTTTTTTAAATATAAATCATTTTGATATATCTTCTTTTAAATTCAATTATTTCATTATTTAAAATTGTAGTATTGTTGAAATCAAAAACATGATGATTATTTGTAGCATGAGAACTAAGACCAGCGTAGTAAAGTTACGCGTAACTTGAAGTTTTCGACGTACAATACGTTTTCTACGTAATATACGTTAAAAACCGTATAAAACTCAAGTATAGTACATTTTGTCCATTTCTGTCAGAGATTTGGAGGTTATAATTTGTTTCCGTTATAAAAGAAGGTTTTTAATACGTTTAAAAATGAAAGGAAAACGAAAATATTTACAAAAATACACAAAAAAATTTCCTGGGATGGTTTGAGTTTTAAGAAAAAAAAGATAGGCGATAAAAATTGTGCAAAATACTTAATTTATAATTAAATTATTAAAAATATAATTGTAGAACGTCTTGAAAGTCATAGGTATGCAACAAAATTATTGCATTAATATTTTTTAAAAAATAATTGCAAATAATTTTGCCGTTTTAGTTATAATATTTTGATTTTTTCAATACAAAAATAAATGTGAAGTTAACTTAACACATAACGCTACATTCTTTCATTTATAATTTTTTTAGAAGATAACCTGATTCTTCCTACAATTTGCTTCTAGGTCTTCCGACTTTATTTATTTTTAAACCATAAAAAAAGTTCAAATATATCAAAATATTTAAATTTTAAAGAAATTGTACACTCTTGGCCAGATATGTCTACACTTTTTTGTCCTTTCTAACGCACGTGTTGCCATGACAACATGTGAGTTAGAAAAGGACAAAAAAGTGTAGGCATATACGGGCAAGAGTGTATTGGGATCTGACATTCGTACACATGCCATCTGGTGTTGAAAAATGTAACTAGTTTTGGATAACTGTTTGTGTCACTTGCAATTGTAGTTCCGCTGTCATTGTTAATTATTTTATCATTATGAATGAAGCTACATTTTTTACCGCGTGAGAAATCTTCCTGCAGAATTAAGTGTTCTGTGAGAGGCTGTGGCAGTACTGTAGTGAAAAATTTAAGCGTAATTTTCCATAAATTTCCGAAACCAAAACAACGAGTAGTGGATGTGAAAAATACGTTCGATAATTTTGAAAGTCGATCAATTAAAGGCCTGGAAAAATGCTTTAAAAATAAACAGTATAAAGCCTTCTATGAGAGTATGTTCTCTGCATTTCAAAAGAAGTGATTACATTTTGCCAGGTAAGTTTAAGATTTTAAAATTTGGAGGTTATATAATCTTTCATATTACCCGTGCATGTGAACATTTTGAAAGTTAATTTATCACTGTAAAAACGGATAAATAAATTTTTTTTTCACTTCTTGTTAACAGACTTTTACAATGAAAAATGAAATATATACATTTATAAATTTTCATATAATTACATGAAATATAAAGGAAAATACAATACTTTTCTTGCACATGTATCGCTGGATTTGAGAAAATCATTTGTATAAAAATAAGATTTCTTTTATATTTTTATTCATGTTTGTAAATAGGAATTTAAATAGTAATTTTGTATTAAAAAAATTCACTTATACATTTATTAAATTAAGCAATATTTTTTAAACGATTTTGTTCTATTGCATCCCATGTTATTCCCATGTAAATTCACTAAAAGTGTTACCCAATTTACGCCATATTGCTTTAGGCCCCGCCCCCATGTCAGATCCCAATAGGTTATTGAAAACAAACGAGAATAAGGTTATTCAAGTTGGGTGGGGGAAAGCCAAGATGGTTGCTTGCTGGTGCACCTATCAGCCTATCAGCATTCATTCCCACGAGAAATGTCTCGTGGGAATGAATGCTGATAGGCTGATGGTGCACCAGCAAGCAACCATCTTGGCTTTCCCCCACTCAACTTGAATAACCTTACTTAGAATAACGCATGCGCAGTACACAAAATGTAATATACCTTAAATACGTATAAAACTTGTGAGGTAATGGGTAAATCCACGAAACTTTTAACTTTCAAGAAAAGAAAATTTCTTTTTTTAATTTGCAGGCACATTGATGTCTTTTTGTATACACGTTTAAGTACATTTTAGTACTACAAATTCATATGCGTGATTCATTTTTAGCTCACGCCGTCAATGTTTAACTCTTAAAACTCTTTAATGTTAATAAATTACATACAATATTGAAAAATTCAACTTTTTTTATTTTTGATATCGGAGTGGTTTCCAAAGTATTTTCGTCCTCTGAACACGATTCTGGCACCCAAATTTGCTTAGCACGTCAGGATTTTGAGAAAAAAGAGGGGAATGTCTCCAAAAAAGTTTTTTCAGCATATTCTTAACTTAATAAAATTTGTTTCACTCAAAATACTTAAGCGGCGTTTTTGTGTTCAAATATATGTATGAAAATGTTTCGATCACACCATAGATTGACCTGTTTAAAGCAAAAATGCAGTTGTGCCTTTCAAAAATGTATAAATTTAAATGAAATTACGATTTTTATTATCAT